CACAAAATTGATTAAAATTTCCAACAGTTTCCCATTTTACCTCAAATAATATTAAAACTCACCTCATTTCCATGGCTCCTTTTCTACTCTGTGTATCTGCTTCCTGTCTTTCAAACCTCACTTTATGCTACCCTTTTCCTTCCTCATATTGGACTCAGTTCTTCAAATGTGTCAAGCTCATATCTGTTCAAGGTCACTGCCCAGGCAGTTCCCTCTACAAAGAATGCACTTATTCCCACTCTGTATGACTAGCTCTTTCTCTTCCCAAAGAATGTGGCTTAAATGTCATCTTCCCTGACAGCCCTTTCCAACCATCACGTTTAAAATATAATTCTCTATCTCAATGCCTTTGCTGCTTCCTCCATAGCATTTCTAACAACTTTTATCATTTTATTTACTCATCCTATTTTGTTTTTTGTCAGTTTCCCTTACTAGAAAATAAGTTCCACGAAGGCATAGACAATATCTGCCTTATTTATCCTTTTATCTCCATTATCTAAATATGAATTCTAGAAAACAATACTCAATAAAATAAGGCAAAAGCAGAAGTAATATAATTCCCAATTTTGGAGAAATAATGTCAGTCTAATTACATTGCAAGTTGATCAGAATGCTAAAGACGCAATATATCAAATTATGTTGCACACCTTAATTATATACATTTTTTACTGTTAAAAAGAACACTGTAGATGTATAAACAATTTAATCCTTCTGTATAAGTTTAATTTGATTACAGTTGACAATGTTTGCATTTTGATTACTTAACTCTATGTATTGATCTCCATCATCTTTGTATTCCCAAGAAGTGTTGAGTCAAGAACACAATGAAGAAAACTTCTATTACTTGGGGTTTGGTTGAGGTACAGTGTAAAATAGGATCTATTCTTCCACCATTTAGGACAAACGGAGTATATTGTCAAAAGTACTCTTGTAGTGAGGAGATAAAGAGAGATCGATCGAGATATGGTGCCTGTGACAGGGAAAGAGTTTACAGAAGGAAAAACAAGAAATCTATGATGCCTTTTGTACTTACAGCTATACTAGTAATGATTAGCTAAGAAACATAAGAATTTCTACTCTAATTTTTTTTAATATTTAATTTTGTAACATAAAAGAACCACAAATTCCTTATAGAAAAGTTTGAAAATATAAAAAAAGTAAAAAGCTGAAATTTAACCATTAATTTTGTCTTGTGCCACTAGACACATACTTTTCCCCTTAGGAAAATCCAAATAATATTGCTTTATTCATGTTACTTCTAGGCTGAAGAAGAGATCCTTAAAGATCACCGTATAATTTTGGGGGAAGAAAAAGCTTTTAGACATAGTTAAGACTATATCTAAGACTAAACCTTAAGACTATGTGAAACTCAACAAACATCATTTAGACAACCAAAGTGTATCAATGACATTTTATCTTTCTAATTTGAATACTAAACATAATGACTAACTACATAATGATTTATTTCAATTTGTAAACGTAGAATAAAATTACTTTCCAGGTTGTTTTTATACTTAACAATAAGGCACGAGATCACCATCTCTTGCACCTTTACAACTATGAATATTTTATCCCCAAAAATGAAATTCATCTAAATGAAAGGTTTTCCAGAAATATTCTTTGTAAACCATCTAATTTTCCTTATTTAACAAAATATTTAACATTTTCAGTAAAGTTCACTCTTCAACTTTCTAAAAAGATTTCACTCCTCTCCTTTCTATAAATATAAAAACAACTTTCAGTTTTATGAACAATTATTATGGATGTTCAACTAATTTTAGGCTATGAATTTTCTTAAGCAGATATTTTTCTGCTTAGGTATGCTCACCTGTATTTACATACAACTCAGTGGATTTTATACTCAAGTCATTCAAATTAACAAATTCAATAAAAATAATGTATCAAACTACCAGTTTGCTTGTTTATTTCATTTGTCACTGAATTCCCTGGAGAAAAAATAAGAGCAATTCACACAATCTGGGTCATAAAATGAGCTCACCAGACTCTTGTATCCAAACCATATTTTAATTTAATGAATTGAGTATCTGACGATTTTTGGAAACATGAAGTCACACCCTGAGAGATGCATCAACTCTTTTAGGCTCTACAGTACTGTGTGCTAAAGTGGATAATCTTGGAGTTAACGGACCCCTGGTGGCTACTAACCCATGTAGTTTATATATATGGTTACTTATATAAAACTAGACTGTTTTATATTCAACTGTGTCTCCAATACAGAAACAAAAGTTTAGGTATATTGAGAAGGTAAAATGTGCTTTTCCTAAAATAAAAATTTCCAACACCTAACAAATACTGTGGTTTCAAGTAGAGGGAAAATTAATGGAATAAGAAAGACTTGAATACAAATCATGTTTTCACTTACTTAATCAGATGAAGTGATCTAGGAAGCACCACTACTTTCTGATCGATTCAAGGAGGTTTAGGTAATAGGAAGAGAGAGTCAAATTGATTTATTTTGTCTTTATAGTGCAAAGCTTCACAGCCAGTTAAAACATAAGCGATGCTTCTTATAGTCAAGTGACTTAGTACCATGTTAAGCACCATGTTAAAAATGAGATAGTTCACTTTTTTGTCATCACCATCATTTTACCCTGCCTAAGTATAGAGAACTAAGGGGGCAAGAGGAAGAGGGTGAATCCACTCATTTCAACCATGAAAGATTTTATATAATTTGGTAAAAATAGATAAATAACATTAAAAATTTACTTCGTGAATATCCTTCATCAGAAGGCAAGTTATATAAATATGAAATTTTACCCTCCATAAAATAACCAATTTTAAAAATAAAACATGAATTCCATTAGCTCTTAAAAAGTTACTAGGAAAATAAATACCATCTACTTGAAATTAAATACTAATATTACTGATATTTACTATGTGTATAAGATATCTAATTTGTTTTACGTTAATATTTCTACATTGTATACATAGTATAATAATGCTGTAACATCTCATGTTTTACGTGTTTAAAAAATGGTAACATATGTTTTGATTCATGCTACCTATTTATGAAACTACAAATTAAGAAAATATCGCCAAAATGTTTATAAGAATAAAATTTTGAAGTTTCACATTTTATTAACCATCATTGTGATGATTCCCGTATTCACACGTTATCCCAAGGTATTATGGAGCATAATTTCTATTCACTATAACTTTAGGCTGTAAAAAGCATTTTATAAGCAAACATTTGTGTCGGATCAAAAAATCTTAGGACACTTTCTCTATAATCTTCTTTTGAAGAATTCCTCTAAATTTTACACAATTTAGCCCTTAGGTTGTATTTTATCCAAGTGTAATCTCATGCACAGCCCATGTTTTTAGCGTATTAATACAAATTCAAATTAAGAGTTTTAGCAGACTATCTTTAAAGATCCTATTTAACTTATGAGTAAATTGAGTAACACTCATTCACTAACATGAAGTTAAGAAAACTGGGGGCCGGCTCCGTGGCCGAGTGGTTAAGTTCGCGCTCCGCTGCGGCGGCCCAGGGTTCGGATCCTGGGTGTGGACATGGCACCGCTCGTCAGGCCACGTTGAGGCGGCGTCCCACATCCCACAACTAGAAGGACATGCAACTAAGATATACAACTGTGTACAGGGAGGAGTTGGGGAGATAAAGCAGAGAAAAGAAAAAAAAAAAAAGATTGCAAAAGTTGTTAGCCCAGGTGCCAATCTTTAAAAGAAAAAAAAATTTCTTAGAAAACTGATAAAAATACACACAAATCACACATGCTTGGTAAATATTTTAGGTAAAATGTCTTTTAAAAGTAATGGAAAGTCATTAAAATAAACAAGAATTACTACAAAAACTTAACACCTACTCTACGCTCTTGAATTTAATACGAACATCTGAAGGGTCAGGTGTAACGGGACACGTTCTGGTGGAAGGGCCCCGGCCCCGCGGCGGTCCGGACTCGCGCCGGCGGCCCAGGCCCGGGCGGGCACAGGCGCATCCCGGGCTCCCAGCGAACAGCAGACGCGGAACCGGGAAGCTACCGCATGGAAACACTAACTGTTCGAGTCTGCCGGTAAACTTGCTCTGGACGTCCACCCCTCTTCGGAGCCCTAGACACCGACACAAACCACGCCATCAACGTCTGCCTTTCCCACTATCCACAACGGCTTTCCTCTCCGCGCCACAAAAAGGCGGCCAAGTGAGGGGACACGCGCTCCCCCTCCACAGAGGCGCAGGGACGCGCGCGTCTGACCCCAACGCCGGCCGCCCGGAAGCCCGAGGGCGAGCGCACCCGGCGGGCGGCATCGCAAGGGCAGGACGGCGGGGGCGACCCAGAGCTTCCCTGGGTCTGCGACCGCAATCCGGCGGAAAACCGTAATCATCGGAAACGCACGCACAGCACCCCCCGCGCAAACGGGAGCCGCACGCCGACCCTGAATGTCCTAGCGCTGAATGAAGTCAAACGGCACGCACGCTCACGGGCAAGGAGGCGGCTGTCGTCGCCTCGGCCGTTTTCCCAACCTCCTCACCCGCCCAGAAACGGCACTCTGTCCCCTGACCTCCGTCTTCCACCCGCCCGTGCTCCCGAGGACGGACATGTTAAACGCTAACTACAGCCCAAGTTCGACGCTCGCAGTCCGGGACGCGTGACAGAACAGGTGACACCCGGTGGTCATCCCAGCGCCAACGAGCGCGCCCAGCCAGGGACATGCGGAAACTTTCCGGGAGCCAGCCGCGCGGCCTGAGAGGACCGGGCGCGGGGCAGGCGCTCCCACAGCGCGAGCCGCGGCTCTCGGCGCCGGCAGAGGCGCGGGGCGGCCACCTCCCCGCGCGCCCGGCCGGCGGACCCCGCTCGCTGCCCGCGGCCGGGCGGTCTGCGCGCCCCGGAGCCGCGCGCTCGGCCAGGAGGGGACCGCCGCGCCGGCCGGCCGCGGGCGTGCTCTCGGGAGGCGGGGAGGCCCGCGGCGCCGAGGGGCAGTCCGCACGAAGTTCCCGGCGGGGCACCGCGCGTCCCCCTTACCTTGGTTGCTGGGGGCGCGGGCGCCGGCGCCCGGCCCGGCCGTCAGCAGCGGCAGCAGGAGCCCGAGCGGCAGCAGCAGCCCGTGGACCGCGCGGCCGCCCATGGCTCCCCGCGGCGCGCTCCTCCGCCCGCGGCGCGAGAGGCGGCGGCGGCGCGGCCAGGTGCGCGGGTCCCGGTCCACGTCCTCGTCCTCCGCCTCCTCCTCCTCCGCCCGGCCCGCGGGCGCTGTCCCTGGGCGGCCGCCACGCGAGGACCCGGCGCCGGGGCGCGGAGGTCCGGGCGGCCCGGGCGCGGGCGCCGCGGCTTCAGAGGCGGACGCCGCCTGCGGCGCCAGGGAGCGGCGGGCGGCTGGCGGCGAGCGGCTCTGCATCCAGCGCCGCGTCCCGCTCGCGCGCGGACTCTCCACTGGGGCCGGGGCGCGCGCGCGCAGGAGCGAGCCCGGCGTGGGGCGGGGCGGGGCGGAGGCGGGCACCTCCCGGCGGGCAGGGGACGCCAGGTGCGGCGGGGGCGGCTGCCGGCCGCCTGTCCTGACCGGCGGACGCTCGCGGAGCCGGCGGTGGGGAGGCGCCTCCCCGCGAGGGGGCGCGGGGGCCGCGGGAACTCTGCTCCCGCCGAGCGAGTGAGGCGGCCGCTCCGGGGGCCGCGAGGGTCCGAGCGAACGGGCTCGGGCCTCAGCCCCGCGCTGGTGTGGCGCTGGCCGCGGCCCGCCCTACGCGCTCCTCCACCTCGGCGGCCGCTCCCCCGGCGACCCTGAGGCGGCGCGGAGCCCCCGAGCACTTTGCTCCTCACTCCGCGGCGGCGGCGGGCGCTGGCGGGCTCGTCAGCCTGCCGCCGGCTCCCCGCTCCGCGCGGGCGGGCCGAGCCCTAGGCGAGCTCTGGCCCGACGCCCCTCAGCGCCGCTCGCCCAAACTTGCCGGCCGGGCGAGCGCCTCAGGCTGCGGCCGCCGACGCTGCGCCCGGTCCCAGGAAGGCCGAGCGGGAGCCGGCCGCCGGGGCTCACGAGGGCTGCGCGTCACCGTGTGGCGCGGACTTCGCGGCGGAGGTCACAGGCTGTCGCAGCCGTGGGGCCCGCGGGGGGCGGCGGCGGGGCCAGGGTCGCCTTCGCTGCCCCGACGCCGCGCTGGGGGCCGGCCGGGCGGCACGCAGGGCTGACAGGGCGGGCGGGCGCGGGTGCCGCGAGACGGGCGCTAGGGGGGGACAGTCGACCAGAAAACGCCGCCGCCGCGCGGCCCGCAGTGAGGGACGCGCCGCCGCACGCGGGCGCGGGTCAGGGCACGGGGCCGCGGCGGCGGCGGGGCCTGCGGGCGCGCGTTCGCCGCTGGCACTGGCCCTGGCGGCCCCGTTGTCGTCGGTGAAGGGACCCGGGCTCGCGGTGGAGTGAGGCTGCGCGCCGCCTCGGAGCTCTCCCGAGGAGACGCTGATGGCAACGGAGCAAGGGACCGGGAGCGAGGCCGGGCGAACCCCGCGGCCCGTGCTGTCCCCGACGGCGCGCGCGGCCTGACCCGGGTTCCCCCGCGGCGGAGAGCGCGGCGGGCGTGCGGCCCGGGGCGCGGGGCGCTGTGCCGCCGCCCGGGTGACGGAGGGCGCGGGCGGCCGGTCGGTGGCTAGGGCGCCGCGGGTGTAGGCCGCATGGTAGCGCCAGTCGTCGTTGAGGAGGGATCGCGTGCTTAGACGTGTGTGATGGCTGCACCGAGATTTTCCTTCAGAATCCTGTCTTTTTCGGTACTGCCAAAGAATGCGTTGCCATGACCTTTCTGTAACTAAGTCTGGAGTTTTAAATGTTGCCTGACCGCGAATCGTTCTACAGACTTCATTAACAACTAAGAGAAAAACTGCGTCCGAAGAGGACGCTGCTTACAAATGCCCACCGTATGCCCTGTGCTGATGACCCCAGGAACGTCTGGTAACTTGTCTCAGAATGCCGCCCGTGTGGCTCTGTTTCTGAACTTCCGGTTTAGAAGAAAGGGCAGAGCGCCGAGGTCCTGCTCGAGGGCTCGCCCGACGGCGGCCGCGGGCCGTGCGCGGCGGGAACTGGCGGTCCCCGCAGCGGGTCTGGGCCGGGGGAAGCGCGTTCTGTCGGCGCCCCGCCCGCGGTGCACCTGCAACCCCCAGTTTGTTTGTTTAAATGAGTCACAGTCATGCGTGACGTAACGTTACTAGCTGGTCAGATAGCTGATAGTCATATTCTGGTTGTGGACTTTAAGAAAAGAAATAATTACAAAATCTTTCTCAATATTGAAATGAAACACACCGGACATGTTTAGATACTGCCCATTGCGTGTCTCGAAGATAATGACCTTGCATGTCTGAAGATAACGAGCTTAGGTAAAAACTCATCCCAAAGAAGAGGAATTTAAATGTAATTATCTTGACCTTCATAGTGGGATTCCATGGGTTTGACATGATTATCAATTTCAAAACATGATAAAAAGAATTGTTATAATAATTTGGCCATTTGTGTTATCCATTATATATACATATAAATATATGTATTTGTATCCACACATATACATACACTCAGTGTGTACGTGTATATTCACTCTAAGATGTTTGTTGAGCTCTTTTTATGTGCTCAGTTCTCTTCGCTCAGAGAAGACAATAGTAATAAGTAAAAATAATTTGTTTTTAAAAGCTAACTTCTTGTTTTAAATATAGTCATGGTTATCTTATGAGAGCGAGAAGCAATTGCACTTAGAAATATACTTCCTTTTTGATTTTCTACCACTGTTGATATATTTGCTGACATGTCACAGTTTCAAAATTATAAGCCACTCAATGAACCAGACACAATATTCCTGTAGATTTATCTGCACTTGTCCGTTTGAATCATACCCATATTCAGAAAAGCGTTCCTGTCTCATTTTTCATCACTATCTTGTTCAGAATTCTTTTGTATTCTCTCAGACCATTGTTCTTCATGATAAACATGGTCTGAGTTCAGGGAAGAATGATTAAATTTTTGTTAAATAAAGAATATATGACACTAAACACTAGTCTGTTTTAATTTATAGTAGAAATAATAGTATTCACAAATATTATTTGCTTTTTAAAATGATGAAAGGAGGAGAGACTTAACCTGCAATTAATTCCTTTGAGAAAAAACAGAGAAGGATTATAATGTTTAATACTCAGAATGTTTCAAGGCTTGAGAAAGTCTTAAGTATTCTGGTAGAAAAGTAAATCCATTTATATCTGTAATTTACCTTCTCTAAGGTCAAAGAAGAAGCAACATAAAAAGTGTGATCCTCAAGTGTGTCGAAACATCAGGTCTTAAAATATTAGCTTAGTACTTTGAATAGGTACAACTGTGTAAGTCTTTTTGTTCATATAAAATTTAGAGATGCTGCCAACAGTGTTGTTGTTATCATGCCATCAACTTTAAAATATAAAGTAATTAAAAGATTGAATTGTACAGTTTAACATGTGGACAGCTAAAGTAAAAAAAAAAAAAACCACAAAGTCAATGTAGTTAATTTGAGGCCCTTTGCTTTAAGAAAATATGTAATTGGGGGAAAACATACACATTATTCAGAAATTTTTCTTTGATATTAGGAGGTAGGTAATATTTTTCTGAAAAAAAGACCTTCAAAACTGTGCTGGGTATTTTAGTGTATTGTTAGCATATCAAATCTTAAAAACCTCACAGGAAAAAGTGAACTTGAGGCTACAAAAAATGGACTATGGTTTATTCTGCTTTTTGTTCTTGTATGGTATTTTATATTAAAAGAAAAATATATGTATATATCATATGCATATATAAACTATATATATGTGAATGTGTGTGTTTGTAATTCAATGAAAACATCCTCTCTAGTACTTTTCTAAATCAGTAGTCATTTACCACGTGAGATTTTCCTGTGCGTTTGTGCTGAGCATTATACAGGAAGGCACAAAGATTATTTGGATTTAGTTCCTAACCATCAGAAGTTTATATTATATTAAGGGCACAGATATATGAATTATTCCAGTACAAATCATCTATGTAATCTCATAATGGAGTGACTATTATAGATTATTTTATTTATGTTATATTATTATTTTAGATATGTAAGAGGAAAGGAGTCATACCCTCACCCTCTAAGGCATGGGTCTCTACCGTTACTACTTCTGCTTCAGTTAAACTTACTCTTGGTATGGATTGGTTCATCCTCTGAAAGCCAGTGCGTGGACTTTTACTACAATTACAAATACTAATGGGTATGCACAATGGCCAAATAATTCAACTAGATTCAGCTAACTTGAATTTTTTAATAAAAATTTACTTAATAGTCTGTGAGGCATCAAGTATCCACAAAAAGTAATTTTAGCTAAATTATGTAGAGAATTTTTTAAATGTTATGTTTAAATTTATTTCAGTTTTGCTGGTAACATATTATTTAGTTTATCATTCTTGCCCCAGAATGATCAGCTGTGCTAAAACAACTTTGCTTTCATTGAAATGTAATAAATACCATTAAAGAGCATATTCTAAACATCAAACAGGGAACAACTAATGACAGAAGTAAAACTACCTTTAAGAAAAGCTTTCTGTATTGAAATATGCCTGCTTATTTCCATCGTAACAAGTAAGGTAGAAACACAGGAATACTGCTGTCAACTTCTATTCAAGTAGTCAAATTAGTCCATCAAAATCAACTTAGTGTTTTGTCTTGGACTATTCCTGCCTTAAGACACTTTATGCTCTGCTTCAGGAAAAGGCAAAGCTAGGTTTTGCCATAAAAATACTTGGGTATGTCAAACAGTTAAATATTAAATTTATTAATAATATCGATATGAACAACCATTAGCAGCTAAACATTTTAATTATTTTAATATGAATAATGCAAAGCGTGTTCTTTTACTACAATCGAATTACAGATTGATTAAAAATCAGTTGAAGAGAAATGATTCCTTCATGCATCACTTAAGCTGGATTGTGTGGGTAAATTCTTTCTATAAAATTGTTTCTTATAATATTTCAGTTTAGTTTGAAATCAGGTATCATGTTTGCAATTTTTAAATTCTGTTGTGTATGTGTGTGTGTGTTAAACTTAATAGAAAAATAAAAGAAAAAATCTTGAGTGACATCTTGTTATATTCCCAAGTGAGCTATAACAACCCAGTAAAAACTGAATATGCCTAATATTTACCTTTTCTGTCAGGGGTCTTATCTCATTTTAATCTGAGTGAGTTTCTTTACTATGACTGTTAAAATGTTTACATGGAATATAGACATTGCTGAATCTAATTAGATGATTAAAAATTCTGTATAACTCGCTCATGCCAATCATTTGACAATTAGCATATAGTTCTTCATATTGTTGCCTAACGTTGATACACATATCCTATCTTCCCAAGGACCTTGAAAAAAATCTTTAAAGACCAAAGAATGTTTCTTACATCTCTACAAAAAGTGTGTGCTAA